ATGCTCCTGTCTGAAGTTACAGATGAAAATAGCTTGCCTGTGGTCTATTGATATCCAATACTCTATCATCAGATTTAGGAAAGCCAATTAAGTCTCTGGTTTTCTACCAAGAGCTGGGAATTGCTTGGTGGCCAGAGACCAAAGGCCACTAAGAACAGGGCCCTGGCTCCCATTCCACGGTTCCAGCTCCATCATAGCCATGAGAGTACCATCTGCCTCTCTGGTCTGCAGGCAGCATTGGGTGATGCTCTGGAATCAGGTAGGAACATTCTCCTAGAGAATGCATCAGAAATGGCTTGGGATGGAGGACCCTGAGATTGCCCAGAAACTTTCTGTGGGCAAATGGGCAGAGGCTGGAGCACCACAATGACATTAGGAAACAACTGTGGCTGCTCCAAAGGAGACCTGAGGGACATTGGTCACTCTTCAGCCTAGAAAAATGAGCACCCAGAGGAGTGCCAAATTCCCTCCTGCCACATGAGGAAGACCAGAATGTAGAGGTTCTCCTTCCTGCCTCCATATTGATCAAGCCAGCAGCAGAAAGAACAGGAGGATGTTCAAGTCCCAAATCCCACCTGGAATTAAGCCCCTCCAAAGAGCCTGGACTCTGTGGGCCTCAGTTGACCTAAAGCATCAAGTCACGGGCTTCAACTTCACTGTCCTTCCTTTGCTTAGGTTATTGGGTTTTGCTGTTGGAGGTGACAATTGTAATGACAAAGACAAAATATGCTAGACTAGTAGTTTTCCACCTTGAGACTCCATGTTTGGAATCACCTGCTGTGATTATTAAAGCAAATTCTAAGATGATGCTTTCTGATAAAAGTTCCTGGGTGGTGCTGATGTTGCAGGCTGGGCACCATACTTCAAGAACCACTGTGCTAAGCAGCATTTGGGAGGGACCAGTTTCCACTAACACAGGTCTCCCTGTGAATACATATCCAACTGGAGCCTGAATAGGTAGGCCCCAGCCATGCAAATGTCTTGGGGCTCCTGTAAGTGTTACAGCTCTGAATGGAAAGATTTCCCCAATGGATATGTTGCAGCTCTGAGGGAAAAGGTATCCTGGCAGTTGGGAGTTAAGGAAGACCACAAAGTCACACCCCACAACAAACCTCACACAAAGAATTTATTGGGAGAGACACAAGATGGTGGCTGCATCTGCTCTGGTGGGCAAGAAGCATCAGAGGACTGAGCAGGAGACAGGCTCATATAGGACTTCTTGGGGGGCAGAGTTTTACAGGGTGGGGATTGGTAGGATTTCAAATCCTGAGCCCAGGGATTGGTGGGTTTTTGAACTCGGGGACTGGTGGGTGTTAGTAGATTTCCAAACCTAGAAGTGAGCACAGACCTTTTACCCTATAGCTCCTACATTCAACAGTACTATCTTGGGGATAAGGGAAGATGTCTATGGCCCCTACCCTGATGATGCTTTTATGTATAAGAAAATAATTCCCACAGAATGGCATTGGAAACAACTATATTGACATCCAGTCTAGTCTGTAGAACCCTATCCCTCTCTAGATAAGGACCCATGGGGAAGAATGTTCCAGGGAGAGGGAACAGGAAGCACAAAATTCCATGGGATAGGAATGAACTCGGCAGGTTGGAAGGAAGTATGGCAGAAGGAGAGTAGAAGCGGAGAACTATTTTGTGCCACTTCCAGCCACGTGGCCACTTTCCCATGTGTCTATAGTTAGCTCTATGAAGCAGGGCAGTTGTGGAGGGGCAGACTTGTGTTATAAAGATGACTTTGCGTGCTCAATGTAGAATGAAATCAAGGGTGTTGAGAGGAGAGGCATGAAGCCCACGAGAGTGTTATGAATTTCCAGGTAACACAGAGGATGAGTTCCAGTGAGCAGGAAATGAGAAGAATATGCAATTCAGGGGGTGAGGCTGGAGGTATAAGGAGTGTCAGGTAGAGGGAAAATCCAGAGAGCACTGGGCTTTGGGTCCTTGGACTAATGGCTTCCTCTCTCTGCTCCTTGGGCTCCAGTGGACTAAGCCCTGGTTGTCTGAGAGTCTGTCTGTGGGGCTCAGTCAGACCTGTGAGCTCCTTAGCTAGAGGTTCTGTTTGCCAGCAAGAGTGATGCTCACATGTCTCGGGCACTGGAGTGGCAGTATGGGATGCAGGGTATGGCACCAGCCAGATGGCCAGGCTCCTCCATTCCTCTGCCAGCGGCAATTCTGCAGGCCAGAAGTGCCACCCAGGAAAATGAGACTCTAGGAGGATGTGGTTGATGCTGTCTGCTCCTCTGGGGAGAGTGGCTGGTGGGGGAAGGATGGACAGAAACAGACAGCTACAGAAACAGAGGCCACCTCCTTAGCCTCACCCTTGCTGAAGGGACCCCACTCTAACGACGGGGCTTCCCCTGTCTGTGAACTATCTTGAATCACTTGCCCTCTCTCCCTCCCCAATGCTCTCCTTCCCCACTGACTGCTCTGAAATTGCAGATGAACAGTTGAGACTCAGCTGCTCTGTCTTCTAGTCAGCCGACAACCTTTTACTGAAAAACAAAACAAAACAAAAAGCAAAAACCACATCTTGCTGGCTCTGTATGTGCCCTGAGGACTAAATAAACTGAGGCTCACCCATGTGGTGGGAGAACATCCAAGCTAAAGTTCTGGAGACATATGGATGGATAGGTGTGAAATGAACACCCACTGATGGCCAGGTCTTTGAAGCAGGTCTCTCTGATCCTTCTCCTAAAAGCCACATAACAAGTCATACCCTACCTGCCACAGGTGAAGAGACAATGACTAAGCATTGCAGATTACGATTGTGGGTGAAACTGACTTTTACAAAATGTAAAATTCAGGAGAGACAAAAATCTTAGACTTTCTACAAACCAAATGGATGGGTATAATTAAAAAGTGTTACTTTGATTAGAGATAAGAAAACTGTACCTTTTCTCTCATGTGCAGCTCGTGTGTGTGTGTGTGTGTGTGTGTGTGTGTGTGTGTGTGTGTGTGTGTGTGTATGTGTGTTAAAATTAGAAAGAGATGAAGCTATTGTGGCACAGTTGTACAACTGAATACTACACAAAGGTACAGAGGAAGACCCCAGAACCATTCGTAGACAATTCTCACAATTTTGAATGAAAGAAATAAGATACAAAAGAGAACATACTGTTTGTTTATGTTTCTATGGGACTTAGGAAAGGACCTGATTCAAGGTAGCAGAGGCCAGAATAGCACCAACTTTGTAAGGGTCCTGAGTGGAGGGTCATGGAGCCTGTGGGAGCAGTGACCTGCAGTAGATATCTGCTTGGATGGTTGCTACACAGGTTTTTGCTGCTGAAAATGGATCAAATTCTAAACTGCAGGCCCAGAGATAGTACCTGGACCCCAACTAAGCTCAAACAAAAAATAGAATAGAGCTCCAGTTAGAACACTAGGAAAAGAGAAGAGACATGAGTATCTGATGGATCTGGGCTACAAACTGGAACCTGGAAACCATGGGGAAGATGTTCAGAGTGGTTGAAAAGATGCTCAACCAGCCAGGCAGTGCTGGTGCATGCTTTTAATCCCAGCACTCAGGAGGCAGAGGCAGGAGGATCTCTGTGAGTTGGAGGCCAGCCTGGTCTACAAAGCTACACAGAGAAAAGCTGTCTCAAAAAACAAAACAAAACAAAACAAAACAAGGAAAAAAGATGCTCACTCTAATTCATAATTGTAGTGAGATATCCAACCTGCCCGAACCTGTAGCACTGACCATGCCCTTTTGGGCGTGGTTACAGGTGCTGACATGACAGAGAGTAAGTGTTAGGTCTCAGATAGAGGCAGGTGGCTCTCTTGCATTCAGTTGGGTCACAGAGAGCAGCCTGTGCAGATCCTTAGAGCTGGAATCTGTAGCGGCCGTCTACTTCTTATGTGACTTCTCCCCGAAATAAATTATATTTAACCTATATTTGAACTTAGCCCTGTGAATCATTATCTGTGCCACACATAATGAGATGGTTATACACCAAAACAAGACACCCCTTCACAGTATCAGGTCAGCAAGCAAAGGATACCCTGTGTTAGCCAAGGAGTAGATTAACCGGGGGAGAGAAACAGTTTAGGGGCCACACAATTGACTGGATTCAGAAGGAGTTGTGCTAGCAGATCCGTCTTGGGACCTAGAGTTCCATCTCCTGTTGCTTGCACAGTTCAGCAAGGGGAAAGGTAAGACAGCCCATTCACAGTGGCACTATTGATGAGAACTCAGAGCTGAAAGTAACTCAGAACTCATGGGGGCTGGTGAGTAAAATGTGGCAGAGACATATTACAGAAAACTGTTCATCATTCAAAGCAACAAACTCCCAATTGTAATATATACATTTGTAGATTTTTTTTAAAGTCACTCGAAACAAGTAGGAAATAAATAGACTTGTAGCCTAGTACCATGTATGTAAGTGACCACACACACAGCAGTTCTGTACAGTTAAGAGTATATTCACATATCCAAGGCAAGCATGAAATACCTAAGTGGGTGAAGTGAACATTAGGGACAAGCTATAAAATTAAAACAAAATACTCCTCAGTCACTCTACTCCAAGAGAGGAATGGTTGTACACAGGTGTTCATGTCTGTTCTGTTTTCAATAGTCAAAAGTGATAAATGGCCAGGCAGTGGTGGAGCATTCAGGAGGGAGAGGCAGGTGGATGGATCTCTGTGAGTTTGAGGCTAGCCTGATCTACAAAGCTACATAAAGAAACCCTGTCTCGAAAAACCAAAATAAAATAAAATAAAAGTGATAAATGATCCATACACCTCAACAGTTGAATAGATTGAAAAATGAAAAAAGTAGTAGTGCATAGTCAACATGCCCCTTAGCCATTGACACAATAGCTGCACAGTGCTGTAGAGGAAGTCTTGTGTTAAAGGATCCACAGGTAAGATTCTGTTACATAAATTCCTGGGAAGCAAAAACTTATCCACCAAGTCAGAAAGCCAGTGAATAACTGCCTCTTCATGGGACAGGAGAACAGTAGAGTTCATTACACACACACACACACACCTAAACTCATTACACTGATGCTTTATTGATTTGATTTATTGATTGATTTTTTATTTGTTTTTGAGACAGGTTCCTTGTTTCTCAGGCTGCTCAGGCTGGCTTTAGAACTCGTTATATTGTCAATCCTAGTCTTGAACTTCTGGCACTCAGTCAAGTCAGGGATTGCAGGTGTGCACCATTACATCTGGTCCAAATCATGCGCTTTAAGTAACAACAGTTTGTAGCACATCAATTAAAGCCCTAAAAACAACAAAATAAGAGAAGGAATATGCAGTCGTTAATGATAACCATGCCTTGAAACTACAAGCTAAAATTAACCTTTTCTATGCTATAGGCAATAATTAACACCTGAGCTTGATTACTAATACCAGCACCAGTAACAAAGAAAAGCAACTAAAACAAAAAGCAAGGAATGAAGGAGGATGAAAGAATTACCCATGCTTTATAGCTGAGACATTGGGTCCCAGAGTCACACTTTGTGGCTTGAGTCTTCTTCTAGTTCAAGGTTATCTCTAAGTTCCTGGATAAGAAAACTACTTATACTTGGTGGCGAGAGAGGTAGATACCTCCATCTAACCCTTGGGGTCACTCCTGGGAAAGTCTCCAAAGACCAAGAGATCAAGACAAGCCTCCTCTATATCCTCAAATAATCTGGGAGTGAGATACTTGGGCAGACTGTAATTGTGCTGAGAGAAGAATGAAAAGGCTTCCTGTTGGAGGGGATGCTCGAATTCACACAGGTGCTTGGTCCAGAGTGATCCTGAATGGTGTCTTCTGGTTATTCTAGTTCCCTACTATATTAGAGAGAATAGACTGCATGTCAGAGGTGAAGGGGGAGGTCCAGATAGCAAGAGATGAGCCATAGAGTCAGGAGTATACAGGTGATCACAGATGATTTAGTCTGTGATGGGTAGTGGTGGTGTCTTTTAAAGGCTGATAAAATGTCTTGAAAACAAGCCAGGTTTAGAATCGGGGGAGAGAGTGGTCTAAGAGCATCATTGGAAGCTCCCTCAGCTGTGCAGTTTGACCTCGGTCTCAAGGTTAGCCTTGCTAGATACCCTTATCCTCAATCCTGCACATGTGTGTCCTCCACGGGCACCTTGACTTGCCTGATGCATAATCAGTACCTTGGGTTCCTGACTTACTTCTGAGAGTGTGACTCAGTGTGGACCACTTGCCTAGCATGCTAAAGGCCCTGGGTTCAATCCTCAGTACTGGAAGGAAGGAAAGAAGGAAGGAAGGAAGGAAGGAAGGAAGGAAGGAAGAAAGGGGATGGAAAGGAAGGAAAGAAAGAAAAGAAGAAAAATCCTAAAGGTCCCTGTCTCATCTATTCTTTTCCTAGGATATTGCTATGCTCTCCCCTATACCTATCCACCAGCCCACTGTCCTTACCAGGCCATGCCTGAGTGGACAGATAGGATTGAGCTGGGCCAGGTAGACTTTGAGTCTCAGCAAGAGTCTGACAAAGCCAGAGCAAGGGCCATTCCTGGACCAGGTGGGTAAAGGAGACCACTTCTGATGCTGGGCTGTGACAAAGCCCTATTGTGGGATCTGGGGAAAATGTTTTTTATTTTGTTTCCAGAGCTGTGTGAGCAGAGCATTGTACTGCTGCATGGAGCCGGCTCTGTGTGACCAAGAGGCAGAACATCTCCCACCCAGGCAGTCTGAAGTCAAAAGGCCCCATTCAGCCAGGTCTATATGGCCAACAGGCAGCTCAGGCTCCTGCACCGTCCTTAGGGCAGCCGGCTTTGCTGGCTCTGCCTAGGTGTTGGGCCTGGCACTAAATGTTTGTGTGGTGGTAGTGAGGACTTTCACACCCATTCCCCACGGGATCCCTGCTTGTTTTCATGTAGGGTCTCTGAACTATCTAGCCAATGGAGGGAGGGCATGGTTTTGGACGTGGGTAGCCAGTTGGCCTGGGTGCAGCATTCTCAAAAGACCTAGAGACTTAAGATGCTACTCTTGGAGAGGTTTCATATCTAGCCACAACTTCAAATTTCTGTTCATTGATGCTTCCAACAGCCTTGGGGCCAGTTAAGGGGTTGAATATTTGCCAGGTGTTCCTCATAGCAGTCCAAGAGGCTGTGAGGGGGCCCTTCCTAGAAATTTGCTGGCTTTCTGGACAAATTGACCCCTGTAGGGAACATGGAGTTCAAAGCCGGTTCTCACTGGTGCCAGGCTCCTGGGCCAAGCATGGTCTGCCTTCCCCTGGATTTGCTACTCCCTGCTCCCAGCCCCTGCTGTTCAGCTCAGCCCCACAGCAGTTTCCCCAGCACCTTGAGCCTGAGGCCTAGCCTGAGGGACTAGGAAGGCCCATGGCCCCCACCGTCCTAGAGTCCCCCATGAGAGAGAAGTTCCTTTTCCTGCTGTATGTGACATTGCCCTGAACTCAGGGAACATGTGCTGGCTTCTCTGGAGCATGCTTTACTCCTCCTGGAGTAATATAGAATATTCTAGGAAGGCTGCAGAGATATGTTCTAGTTTTGTTTTTGTTTGTTTGTTTGTTTGTTTCTGTTGCTGTGATAGACTACCCTGACAAAAACCAACTCAGGCTAGGCCTAGTGGCACATGCCTTTAATCTCTGCACTTGGGAAGCTGGGGCAGGTGGATCTCTGTGAGTTCTAGCCCCCTCCCCCCACAGGACTACACAATGAGGGGGAGAAGACAATTTAGGGGATTAATGGTCCACTTTAGTTCACAGTTCCAGGTTTCGGTCCATTATTGTAAGAAAGTCAAATGTGGGGAGTATTTGAAGCAGCTAATCACATCATATCCACAGTTCAGAGCAGAGGAAATATACATGTTTTGTGCTCAACTAGCTTTATCTACTCTTGACAGTTTAGGACCCAAACCCAGGGAAAGATGCTGCCCACAGTGGGTGGGTCTTCCGATTCCAATACAATCAAGGCAATCCCTCACAGACATGCCCACAGTCCAATCTGATGTAAACCATCCCTCTAGGTGTCAAGTTGACAACTCAAACTAACCATTGCAGGTGGATTCATTCATTCATGGAGGAAGGAAGGAAAGAACAAACAAATGAAGGATAAAGTCAGGAGGAAGGAGTCGTAAGGATTTTCCAGAAGACTAACATATGAATAAATTTCATCTTAACGTTTTAGCAATGTGGGAACAGGCGGCAAATGTGGGAACAGGTCTGGAACGGGGGATCCTGACTGGATCTACTGGAAGAAAAAGAGGACACTTGAGTTTGAAGCAATGGGAGGAGAGACACATGGAACAGCTGGATCTTGGGAAAGGAACCCTGTGCCCGTGAGTATGTGGATTTGGAGATGTCACTCACAGGGATGACAGTTCTATAAAGGGATCATTCCTGCAGTGAGGGACAGGGTTGAGGGCAGAGTGAGGGAGCTGAAGAGGGACAATTTAAGAGACATGTACAGCCTCTTCTCTTCTGGGAACCAATGAAGGAGGACATTTTTTTTTCTTTTCTCTTTACTTGAATCAACACATAATAGTTATAACTATTGCTGGGGTACAGTGTGATCGTTCCACACATGTAAACAGTGTGTGTTGCTCATATCAGAGTGACTTAGTATTTACACCTCTGTAAACATTTTAGTTCTATGTTGGGAAATTTAAAACCTTTCTTACATTTTTTCACAAAAAATATACAATAAATTGCTGTGAACTAGAGACACTTTACTATTGTAACATGCTAGAACTTACCCTCTTCTCTAGCTGCTTTGTGGACTGTCATCTGGTGACCCTCCACCTCCCCAACCCCAAGCTTCCAGTGACAATTACTCTCTGCTTCTAGAAGATCAGCACTTTCCTAATGTTTTTCGAGATGGGGTCTCATACAGCCCAAGCTGACCACCAACTCACCATGTATCGATTCTCCTGCCTCCATCTCTGAGTTCTAAGATTATATCCCCATGTCACCAGGGTGGTGCTGGGGATTGATTCAGGGCCTTGTGTACAGGAAGCCATCACTCTACCAACTGAGCCACATAGACAGCCTGAAATTAGGTTTCTTAATGTTCATATACAACAAGTGAGACCTGAGGGATCTGTCATTTTGTTTATGGTTTCTTATGCTTAACATGGTGACAATGCCTTTATCTGAAGTCTGTAGGAGAGAAAATTGAGTGTACCCTGAAAGATATCAAGACAGAAATTTTGGGGACCAGAGGCAAGGGTAGTCACAATGGAAGGACCTAATGAGGGACAAGCAGTACTTCTGGAAGACAAAGAGAGTGGATTTGTATTTCAGTGTATATTTTGTGGCTCTTGGTGGTTGGTTCTACAGAGCTAACATGATCACTGGGTATGGTCACCACACCAGAAATGTCTAAATAGGATTCTGTCAGGAAAGGGTTGCGGGTTCGAGCCCCACATTTGGAACCATATGGGGGTGAATTAAGGAAGTCCACCAATGCCTGAATAAAAGAATAACAGATATTTATTTGGGGAGCACTCACACAATGAAGGTAAATAGCCACCACAGTTTTCTGCCCCTGGAGGCACAGGATGCTATGATGCAGGATGCTCAGACCACTACCCTAGAGAGAGGGAGCACGACCCCTCCTCTTCCTTGTAAGGGATCATGTCTACATACCAAAGCCATGCCCTATGACTCTGAAACTATTGGAGGAAACAAAGTCTCACTATACTTCCCCCTCTTTGTCTAAATAAGAGGGTCCTAGACCTGATACAAAAACTCTATACAATAGGAACAGATATCATGTATTGTCCAGGAGAAAGAAAGGTAAAAACATACACAAATTAGAACTACAGCCAACAAGTACATCAGCAAGCAAGAAACACACACTAAATGTCCACCCAAGCTATAAGTAATTGACAAATAAAAGAGATTATTCCAACAGCTGTTCTATCACGAGGAGTCTGAGTGTTGTATCTAAGTGTTGTAGCTAGGATGTGTGAGGTAGTAGTTGCAACTATCTAGTCTTCAGCCCCATCAAAGACTTGAGAAGGAAATGTTTCCCATCGTCTTGCGTTGCTGTTCACACTGGGTTCCTCTTGAACTCAGCTAGTATGCAGCGCTGCTCTGTAAATATACTTGTTGAGGAAATGGCTTCATGAAGGATTAGGTAGATGAATGACAGTTTGCCCATCTATCTATCTATAAAGCAGGGACATGAAGTGACACTTCTGAAATTTCCTCCCATCTTTGATCATTTATGGAGAGGCTTTTTTTTTCTTTTTCCTTCCAAAGCTGCTTAGGACCATCTGGTCCAGGTAGGTCTTAGAAGATT